CTCTGTCTCTGTCTCTCTGTGGTGAGCGCATACACTCTATGGCAAAACCCTAAAAAAAGAAAGAAAGAGAGAAGAAAGAAAGAGCGAAGATGGGCAGTGAAGCCATGGCACGCAGGGACAGGCACAGGGACAGGCACAGGGACAGGCACAGGGACAGGCGCAGGGACAGGCGCAGGGACAGGCACAGGGACAGGCACAGGGACAGGCGTGTGGGCTCTCAGGACGGGCTCGTGGACAGACTCCGCTCAGACCAGGAGAGAGTTTGAAAATGCGAGAGCAGACCCATGGGGGTGCTCAGACCAAGCCGCAAGGGGTGGTTGTGCCACCAGGCGTGTGGGTGACGCCGGCACAGACGCGGCCGCTAGCGTGCCCTTGAAGACACAGCAGCCAGGGCGCTCCAGCATAAAGCACAGCTCCAAGAACGGCAGGATGCAGCAGGTTAATGCTGGAGACAACGCCTTCAGACCGCTGGGGGCCTCAGAGGAGGCCATGTTCGGGAGACTGACGGGGACAGCCACGGCAATGCTGAGAGGCCGAGCGCCGGTCTGTGGCCTGGAGATCAGGGCGACTGAGCCCCACGTGGCCGAGCACACAGTCCACGCCCCAGTGACTTGAAAACCACCCAGACCCCTAAATGAGGAGAAAGGATCGCATGTGACCACCGCCACGGGGGTTGTGCTCTCCTTCCCTTCTGTCTCTCTGTGTTGAGCACACGTGTCCGCCATGAAGTTAAAAATAGAATAAAATATTTATTGAGAAACTAAGAGAAACCATGTCTGAATATCCATCAGAAGCCAGCAATTCCGGAGACAGCGAAGTGACACTTTCGAGTACAGACCAGGAAAACTAACAACGAACCCCAACCCAGAAGTGGCAGCAGGAAACAGACGGTAAAGCGGAGGGTTCCCCCGAGGACGGGATCGGGCTGCCCCGGGCTCACTGGGAGTACTGCGGAGTTCTGCACGCGGGCGCGGCAGGGCCAGGACGGCGGAAATCCGGCCACAGGCAGAGTCGAGGCGGCAGGCGGCAGGCGGTGGCTCGCGGGGAAGGCCCAGAGCCTGGGCTTGAGGATGCAGAAGCAGGCACGGAGGCGCCCTGGGGTCCGCTCAGGGCCGAAGTGGGGCCCTGCGGACAAGGCGTGCGTGGGCTCTGAGCTGGCACGGCAGACCTGGGGAGCCCAAGGCTGCCCGGAGCCTTGTGGACAGCTTTGTGAGCAGGGCTCCTTCCTGCCGGGAGTGGGGAGGACCCTCTGGACTGAGAGCCTGTGACCCGCCTTCAGACAAGGTAGGTCAGAGTGACACTGATGTTTTATGGCCAGCCAGGCAGGGACAGTGGAGTTATAACAGGCTTTATGGCTCCCTGTGGGAGAGGGGGAAGGGTTTCGATGAGCCTGAGCCTTGGGGAGGGGAATTCTGGTTTCCATGACTTGCCTCGGGGGAGAGTGAGCAGGGGAAGGTCGGGGACTCTGCAGCTCCACTGGGGGCTCCCGCTTCTGAGCTCCGACAGCACAGGCGGAAGGCCGGAGCCCAGAGTCCAGGCGCTTTCCTGCCCCAGTGCTGCCACCTCCACCCGGTAGATCTCCGCGGGCCGGCGCCACCTGCCCCTCTCACTCATTTCCACTGCTCCACAAGGGAGCTGACGGGCCAGCTGGACCCCACGTGGCCGACAGCGTGGTTAGAATCCCAGGCCCAGTGGCTTGAAAGACAGTTGGGTGTGCATGCCCAGAATTTCAAAAGGAGACGAGACTGTGGTGCAGCCATCCCCGATGTGTGGAGGGGGCTTCTCCCTCTCTCTGGAGAGCACACATACCCTCCGGCACAGACGTCAGCTACCAGGCCCCACGTGGCATGGTTTGAAACGCAGACCCGGTGCTTGAAAGACATGCCCCAACCCCAGGACAGTGGAGGGGAAACTGCAGCATGGCCATCTCTCCGGGGTGATTGCTCCCTTCCTCTCTCCATCTCTCTCCCGAGGTGGCACTCACCCCATAGCAAAAACAAAATGAAACACAAAGATACTTGACTATCAAAAGCAGGGTAGCAAGAGTGTGAAGATTTATTTACAGCACATGTCAAAATAAAATGTGTAAAAATAACGCAATAGAAGTTAGTTATTATTAATCATTTACTATAAAGCAGGTATGCTCACCAGAGAGAGACAGAGACAGAGAGGGGCCAAGTGAGAAATCACCTCTCGGGGATGACCACGCTGCAGTCTCTTCTCCACTCTGTTCCCCCCTCGGGATTTTGGGCATGCATGCACATGTGCCCTGTGCGTCTTCTAAGCCACCGTGCAGTCAGCCACGGGGGATCTGGCCACCTCAACCTGTTGCCGGCTGGCTCTGCCCTACATTTTATTAACTTGCCAGTGTGTGGCTCACCAGAGGGGGAGGGAAAGCAAGACAGCGTCCCCATGGGGAATGCACGTGCCCCAGCCCTTCCCTACTTCTGCATCCTGGCCCGCTGGGGAGTGCATGCACATGTGCCTGGCATGTTTCTGAAGCCACAGTTCCAAGACTAGAAGCACTCAGTTGGCCACGGCATATTTGGCGCCCTAAACACCAGGCCACGAGGACGCCTTGGTGGAAATAAGCTTTGTAGGTTGTGGTACGTTCTAGGGTATCCGTGGTCCACTATATAAGCAGGTTATAATTTAATACATGTCAATGCATGTGCATCTGCACCCAATAGCCACATGCGTGCACGCGTGCATGCACACACACACCGTGACCTGCTCCTTCCACAGGCCTCACACGTGCACCCGAAGAGGGAAACAAGGCTTCTCTCTGTGCCACAGGCGGGGCGCTGGCTGTCTCTGTTCTGCCCAGGTGAGTACGTTTGCAGCCGGCCCTGATACAATTCAAACAAAATGCCAGACAGTACCGACCTCAGAGCATGGGTTTACTAGGGAGAGAGCTGAACAGTGGAAAGGGCGAAAGGCCAAGGGGGAGCATGTGTGCACACGTGCGTCTCTCTGTGTACACATGTGTGTACATGTCTGTCTCTGTGTGCACATGTGTGTGTACATGTCTTCCTGTGTGTGCACACATGTGTCTGTGTGTCTGCACATGTGTGGGGGGAGTCGGTGTGTATACCCAGTAGGAAAGAAGGGACAGGAGGGAACAGAGCCTGCAGCCCTGGGTTCCGGGGCAGAGGGAGCGGGCATGCAGTCCTCAGTCCGTGGCCAGCCTGGCAGAATGGGGTCCCCTAAGCAGAAGGTCCCCTGAGAGCAGGCCTCTCTCAGCAGCTCGTACGGGGAGGAGGGGGAGGTTACTCTGTGCTGGCAGTGAGGGTCCGGAGGGCGCTGGTGGCGTGTTCCATCCACATCCACAGCTGAGCCGGGCCATGCTGGCCTTGGATGGCCAGACCCCCAGGCTCCAGGGTCAGGGAAGGCAGCCGCAGGCCGTGGTCCGGAGCCGGCAGGACAGGAGGGACCCTCTATAGCCTGTTGCACAGAGACGTGCCGCCGCAGCACAGGAAGTCCACCCCCGCGCCCGGCCTGAAGAAGGACATCGGGATGCACACGCTGCTGCAGCCCTGGTGTCCGTACTGCAGCCGGCCACCTGGAGGGGCAGGGAGAGGCAAAAGTGACTGCAGGGAGGAAGCAGGCTTCCAGCAGCCAGGCTCCCCACAGGAAGTTGCCCCCGGCCACCCCTCATGCTCAGCACTGTCTTACTTCCCCCCGTTCTCCAGCTCCCAAAACGCTACCTGCAGAACCCGCATGGCTCAGTTCCTGCCCTCCCTTGGCCCCAGAGGCCCCGAGGCCCCTTGACAAGCATTCCTCCCTGGCAGGTCCATCGGTCTGGCCGGAGCGGCTGGTGCTGGAACCTGTGGAGACCTCACCACCCCTTGCTCCTGCCCTAGGGCTCCTGAGAAGGCCAGCTCCCTTAAGGCAGGGCCCAGACCACCCCGCCTACCTGTGTGGACCCACCTACACAGACGACCTGCATGGACCCACCTATGTAGTTTGTCTCTGCAAACCCACTTGCATGGACCTACCTGCACAGTCTACCTGCTAGGACCCACCTGTGTAGTCTACCTGCAGGGCCCACCTGTGTAGTCTCCCTGCAGGGCCCACCCGCACAGTCTCCCTGCAGGGCCCACTCGCACAGTCTCCCTGCAGACCCACTCGCACAGTCTCCCTGCAGACCCACCTGTGTAGACCTTCCTCAGGAAGCACCGCTGACCCGCCAGAGCCCGGCACCGGCTTTCCCCAGTCTCGCAGGCCCCGTCAGCGCCGACCCGGCCGCACCT